CATGGCATGCAAAGGAACAAGAAAGGATGGCCCATACACAGGAAATAGTCTATTAATGGAAACTCTCTCTGACTTTGGAGTTGCTGGACAAAGACTGCATATTGGTTAATTCAATATGTTCACAAAACTCAAAGAAACCATGTATAAAGAACTTAAGGAAAGTGGGAGTATCATGTGTCACCCATTAAAGAACAGCTGTCATGAGACACAAATTTTAAAAAGGAACCAAGTAGAAAATCTGGAGTTGAAAATACAATAGCTGAAATGAAAGTTCACTACAGGATCTCAAAAGCAGATTTGAACAGGCAGAAGGAAAATCAGCGAACATGAGGACAGTCAGCTGTGATGATCTAGGCTGAGGAACACAAACAAGGATGAAGAACAATGAGCTGAGATTCAGAAACCTGTGGGGCACCATCAAGCATACAACACGCATGTAATAGGAGTCCTAGCAGAAAAAGAGAGAGATAAAGGACTAGAAGGAATATGGAAGAAATATTGAATACTGAATACTCCCCAAATTTGATGAAAAACATTAATCTGCACATCCAAGAAGTTCAGTGAACTCCAAGTAGGATAATATCAGAGATTTACACCTCACACATCACAAGAAAACCATCAAAACACAAAGAGAACTGCTTTCTTGCTTTGAAAGCAGCCAGAAAGATGTGAGATACGCCTCATCATGAACAAAGGATCCGTCCTCAATAACATTGATGTCAGATTTCTAATCAGAAACTATAGAGGCCAGAAAGCAGTGGGATGACAATATCCCTCAGGAAGTGACTGGAGGATGTCACAAGCTTGGGTAAGGGCCTCTGGTCTCCACCAATTGTGCAGTTAGGGTAAATGGGGAGCTCAGAGAACAACCCTGTTGCCCCCTGACACCCAGATTTAAACTTGCCATGGCGACACCAGAGCCTAGGAATTTGGGCTGTGCTGTAAGCTGGGTGAGGACCCTGAGCTTCGCAGGGAGCAGCCTCCACCAGAAGAGGTCCTGCCCAGGCATCCACGGGCCTCGCTGAGAACCAGGGCAGTTGGTGCTGGGTCTGTATGTGCACGCGTGTGTGCGTGTGTGCGTGAAATAATCTGTGCCCCTTGAGTGTAAGTGTGAGTTTGTATGTTCATGTGAGTGTTGCCTGAGTGTGGGTGACCTTGTGCATATGTAGATTTCTGTGTGTGTGTGTGTCTGCATGTGTGAGCATGAGGGTAAGAGTTGGGAATGGTTGAGTGGTTTCTGTGTGATTAGGTGTGTCTGTGTGCGTGTCAAGTGTGCAGTGTGAGGTGAAGGGGACTTGGAGTCTTCAGCCCCCTCTGTCTCCCTGCCGCCCCCTGCAGGCATGGTTCCTCTCATCATCAGGCAAGTGCCATTGACCTCCCAAGTGAAGGCCTCTCAGGAAGAGGTAGGTGAGACATGGGAAGTGAAGGACATGTTCTGGGGACAAGATTGTGACCACGTTAGGGAGTATGAGCTTATGTGACAGTTGGGTGGGAGGATCAAGTCCAAAGACCCCTGGTTCTTATTCGGAGCCTGTACCATTAGGGGAGTTCATCTGAGGGTGGAAACTTGCCTTTTCTCCCACCCCACCCAGTATGAACAGCAGGAGACGTAGGAGGGACAGGACTTCTGGGGCCACCCCTGCACTGACCTTCCCTGGGCCCTCCTGCACCCTCTGGCAGCACAGTTATCCCAAAAGTTTGGCTCAGGACAGAGGGCAAGGCCAGTCTCAGCTCCCTTTATAAAGAGGGCCCAGGCTGGTCGAGCCCTCAGGGTTGGTGAGAGTGCCCTGCTTGGCCTGGTCCTATGTGCTTGGTGTGGTGAGGGGTGCCAGTGTGTCCAGAGGATCCCAATGCCCACTGAGGCAGCCATGGGGCTGCTGACTGGGGAGACACTGGGCCCTGTGGCAGTGGCCATCTTCCTGCTCCTGGTGGACCTGATGTACCAGCACCAACGCCAGGCCCCATGCTACCCACCAGGCCCCATGCCCCTGCCTGGGCTGGGCAACCTGCTGCAGGTGGACTTCCAGGACGCACGTTGCTGCTTTACTTGGGTGAGGAAGGTGGGGGGTGGTGGGCACAGAGGTCTTGGGGACCCTTCCTAGCAGAAGACGGTGGTGGGTGAAATCACAGGCTAGATGGGGAGCTGGGTGGAAAGCAGTAGGTTTGAGAGGCCTCCTGGGGGAGGGCATCTGTGCAGGGCCTGGAGGACAGTTTGAATTTTCTAATCAAAGGTCAGAGAGGGCAAAGGCGTGGAGGGGGATGGGATTGGTAGTGGGTTCGGGATGCAGTTGGACAGAGCTTAAGTTATGTGAGCCTGAGTCCTTTCAGAAGATGTCAGGAGGAGACGTCTTGAGATTGGGGAAGGGGAGTCTTGTCATGAGCCCCATTTAAATCAGGATTCGAGGTTGAGAGGGGGCAGGGACCAGGTTTAAATCTTTTGCTGCTGTGAGACCTTGGGCCTCACTGCTTACCTCTGTGAATCTCACTTTCTTCACCTGTAAAATGGGATGCTAACTTAACCTTCTGACAAGTTTGGTGACCTCTGCAAAGTCATAGCCAGGTGGTCTGATACAATGTGATATCCGCCGACTACAGCGGGTGTGATCCTCCGCGTCACGAGTGCAGATAAAGTACTGTACCCTCTCTGGTGGGGCCCAGGAGTCCTTCAAGGCTAGTGCCAGGAGATGAGGGCCTGCAGCTGGCTTGAGGCCCATGGTCCAGCTCAACGGGCTGGCGGCCGTGCTCAGCCGCTGGTCTACCACAGCGAGGACTTGCCCACTGCCTTTTGGTTCTCACACTTGGGTTGGAGTGTCTCGTAAGGCAATTGGAGGAGGGACAGACCGCGACCCGGTGGGAACTGGGCATCCAGTGGCTGAAGTCAAAACAGGGTCTAACCCACGAGGGTCTCAAACGTGGGGCAGAGAGAATGGCTAGCGAATGGTGGTTCCAGGGCATGGAGGAATGAGCCTGTATCAGGGCTGGGGAAGAATGACTGTGGGCACTGAGGAGGACCAGGCCTGTAGGGAAAGGGGGCGGGACTGTGTGAGCAATGACAGGGGGCAGGGCCGGGACAGAATGCTGTGGAAGGGCCATCAAAGTGGGCGGGATTGGTTGCAGAGGAGGACAAGGTTTGCGAGGGGTGGGGGGCTAATAGGGGGTGGGCCTGACCCAAAGAGGTGGGACTGTCTGAGCAGGTGTAGAGGGCGGGCCTGTCAAAGGGGGCGGGAGTGTGAGAGCAGGGCAGGGGGCCGGGCCGGGCCCCACATCTACACATCATTATCACCCAGAGTCCACAGTTTATATCAGGGTTCACTCTTGGTGTTGTACATTCTATGGGTTTGGACAAATGTACACTGACATATATCCACCATGATAGGATCACACAGAGAAGTTTCACTGCCCTGAAAATCCTCTGTGTTCGCCTGTTCCCTCCCCCCAGCTCCTGGCAAACACTGATCTTTTTTGTGTCTCTTTAGTTTTGCCTTTTCCAGATTGTCATATAGGTGGAATCATACAGCATGTAGCCTTTTCAGATTGCCTTCTTTTACTTAGTAATAGGCATTTGAGTTTCATCCATGGCTTTTCATGGCTGGATAGCTCATTTCTTTTGAGTGCTGACGAATATTCCATTGTTGGGATGTACCAATTTATCCATTCACCTCCTGAAAGTCATCTTGGTTACTTTCCAGGTTTGGCAATTATGAACAAAGCGGCTGTGAACATCCCTGTGCAGGTTTTCTGTGGACATAAGTTCTCAACTCCTTTGGGTCAATATCAAGGAGTGTGATTGCTGGATCATCCGGTGAGAACGTTTAGTTTTGTAAGGAACCGCCAAACTGCCTTCCACAGTGTCTGTGCCACTGTGCATTCTCACCAGCAATGTATGAGACCTGCTGTTGCTCCACGTCCTTGCAGCATTCTGTGTGCTCAATGTTCTGGATTTGACCACTCTAATAGGTGTGTAGGGGAGATGTATTTTTATAAAATAATTGATAAATCGTGGTAAAAAAACACAACAAAATTTGCCATCTCAACCAGTAAGTGTACAGGTCAGTAGTGTTAAGTATATTTGAGACAGGAACCAGCCTAATGAGACAGGGACATCTGCAAGGCCCCTGGCCTAACAAGATAAGGCCCCTAACCAATCCGCAAGCTGAGAATCAGATAGAGACCACCAAGACCCACATTCCGCAGTTTCGGGACTCTCCTGGGCTTACGCATGCGCCCTAGCACCAGGAGTTGTCTGAAGGTGACCCTAGCGCCATTAGCATAGTAAAAATCACACCTGGGGGTGGAGAGCTAGCGTGCTAATGATACATGCAACGCATGTGGTGGCACGCTGAACAACAGCGCAAGCGCAAGAAAACCCCCACCTCTGTGCCAATGACAAGGCGCTCCTCACCAGCCCCTGCCTAATACAAGCCCCACAATCTGGCTGCCTAAGGAGCCGGTCACCCACCCCTTTCCTTTCTGCCGGCTCCCTTGTGCCTCTCCTGTGCACAGGCTAATAAACTTTTACTTTTCTACTCCTGTTTGTTGTCTCTCTTGATTTCCATCCTGGGGGACAACAAGAACCCTATGCACCGGTAACATTTTGGCTTCCTAGTGGGACTTTCTTGAGTCCCAGTCGAAGACTGGATGGGCTGGGCACCGGACTGGCCTGGCTGCCTGGATATGGGCATAAGTGGCCGCAGCTGAACCTTTGTTTCAGACTCCAGTGCTCGGTAAGTCAGGTTGAGGCCTGGGAGCCAATGCCCTCCAGTCCGACCAACTTTCTTCAAGTCTCCCTCTTTTCCTTCTCTCTCTCTTTATCCTCTTTAGGAGAATCTTCTCTCCTCTGGTTTCAGGGGCACCGTGAGCCCTCGGGTCAGTCATTAGCCTGACAATCTGGCTTTTCTGGTTTTGGAGAGTCCACGTTCCACCTCTGGGAACTCTCCTCTGGTTTTGGGGCACCTGGAGTGATTCTAGGTTGACCCCTCAGTCAGTCATTTGACTGACAATCTGGAACCCTGTTTTGTGTCCTGTCAAGAACACATTGAGTATTTTAGGTGCCTACTGAGTCAGTTATGGGGACAGGAGACCTGTAATTTATTCTGTAAATGGTCTGGCCAGCGTTGTTTGCCAAGCACGGGGACTGTTGTTTGTGTGACCCTTATTTTGATAACGTTTGGGAAGAGGACGTGAGGGTGAGGCCTGATCACCTCTTTCCCTTCTTTGTCTGTCTCGTTCGTCACCTCCTCTGTTGTCACCAAGTCAAAGTTAAGTTCACTCTGGACATGAGCAGAACCTGGACCTTCTGTGAAGTCGAAAACTTAAAAACCTTTTGCCGGGAACTTAACTCTCCACCCCAGCATTAGGAGCCCCGGCCCCATCCCACTCCAGGCTTAGGCCTCTTGCTTCCCTGGATTGCTTTGTGCTGGCCCAGGGACTAAGTGCCTGGGCTGAGTGGGACTTGACTAAATCTTCTAGCTATATTGATGCCTGCAGTCAGGCTCTGCACCCTTATCTGGGCCCGCTGTCAGTCAGACAGTGCCGGTGCTTTACCGCCATGGGGAACACTCCAGGCATCCCCAGAGGCTCACCCCTTGGCTGCATTTTAACTGATTAAAAACACTTTCACTCAGATGGGTTATGTCCCAGAAACTCCATCTGGAGAAAACTTGAGTGGTTTCTCTGTGCCTTTATGATGTACTTGGACAGGTGGGTCAACCTATAATGTCATTTGAGTTACAACCCAATATCTGAGAAATCAAGGGCAATTGTCCTTAAAAAAATCCTTGCAAGACTGGAAATGCAGCTCTAGAGGCAGTTCAGATTCCACTCAGTTCCTTTATCTCAATAAAGATTATCATCTTGCCTTTCTAGGAACTGCGGTCTAGCCCATCACTGATTCCTAAGACGAAGGAAAAAAAAAAAAAGGAAAAAAGCAAGAAAAATGGCCATAAGAGTGCCCTTGCCAAAAATCTAGTATCTTGAGTGTCTTCTCCACAAATATTAGTAAAAAGGCTTAAAACAGAATTTGGATTCATAACTAGTGTATTACTGTACCTGATTCATGGCAGTAATTTTAAAACAATAGCTGTGGAGACTCTGTGTATGTGCATCTATAAGTGTGTTATATATGTGTGATGTATTACCTCCGGGTGGTATGGCCAAAATTAAGAGCTCTATTCAATTGGCCTAATGTAAGCGCTTACATAAATTCTAAATGTAATAGAAAGTAGCCACAAAGTCTTTCAAGTTAACATGATATAAATTAATCTTTGGTAACTGAAAGCTTATTTAAGTTTGTTGGTTTGATTAAAACAAACATGTTTTTAGAGTTATCAGCACTGGATATGATGCAGACACGCAGCCTTTATTCTACATTTATTGGTCAAATAGCTGATGTTATCTCTATTACAAAACTGGTTAGCAAAAATAATAAGTAAAAGGATGGCTAATTGTGTCAAATGTCTCATGAAGTCTTGTAGGCAATCTATATAATTATTAGGAACAAGTAACTAAGTTGTTGTGAAAAAGATGAGTGTTACATGAACTTTTTAAACAATGATTATGTGTTATGGTGTATGTACTTAAAATAATTTCAAAACCTTTTGGTAACTTGAAACCTTAGAGTTTTGCTAATTGAATTAAATAATAAAATTTATTGAGTATCTAGGTCATTTCCAAGTAAAATAAAATATTAGATGTTAATTACTAAAATACTGAAGTTTATCTACTTTTGGCTTCTTATTGCAGAAAAATGAAAAGTTGTTTGGGTCTATGAGTAAACATGTCTTGTATTTTATTAAAAGACTGTATTATGAAGTAGCATGTTTCTAGAAATTAGAAAGAGTATTTATAAATTGCCATGCCACAGAATGCTAATGTAAAAGACAGTTCATAATTGCTTGCTTTTTAGTTTTGGCTAAAGTCTGTAAGGGTTAAAAATTCTAATTAATATAAGTAAGTTTTAACATAAGAAGTGAACTGGTACAAAATTAAAATTTGGTTTTCTTTCTCTTAAAAGGGATAATTTTCTTAAACTCTTAGTCTGCTCCTGATAAAGAGGTCATAAAAGGTTTTTCTTTACCTTTGAGTAAGTCTACCTCAAAGACAGAAAACCTATGTTTTGTTAAAATAACTTCCTATGTTCAAAAGGACTGAGGTCTCTCTATTAAGGTTTTTTTTTTTTACTACTTTAACTCTCCGTTCACCCTTGACTGTTTCTGTTGTCACTTTGATTGAATGGATAACTGAGCATTGTTTCACAGTGAGAATTGTTTCCTATTTGAGGAGTGTTTTAAAACCTTTTGATATTTTCGACAAGCTTCCCCCCTACAAAATGTTCAGATCCTGAATGAAGTCCTTTTTTGACCTGAAGGAAAAGACATTTCTTTGATAATTTTCAGAGGGCCCTGGGACTTCTCAAAGAAATTTGCTCTCTCCGCCTATAAAGAAGATACTAATCTAATTAGGCTTAATTGGTATGTTAAATTACATGGGGAGCATTGTCAAATAAGTGATGATAAACCTTCTTAGGTGGTATTATGTGGGTAAATGTTATTGATATAAATGTTTTAAAAAGTATGTAAAATTCTGATCTGTCCTGGTTGTCAGCCATAATTCTAGTTATTATCTTAAAGTATTATATGTCACAGAAATAGCCAAGTTTCTTTGTCATTGCTCTTTTGAGTCTTTTGTTATCTGAAGACAGTTGTTTTACTCTGATGCTTTTGCAAATATGTTTCATCTTCAGAGAGATTCATGGAAAAGACTCTGGCGCTTACTCTAGAATACAGGTTTCTGATAAACTTTCAGATCATAAAACTGAACTGGGTAAGAAATCACAGAACTCTAACAGAGAAACAGATGACTGCATGAAACTGCTAACAGAAGATTAAGATCAAGAATCGATTACATAGGATTGAATGAACTGATGAGAATGATAATTTATATGAGTTTTCATTTGAGGTATTGCTGATTTTTTTGGTGTTTAATTTTTTTTTTTTTTACATTTAAGGAAACCTTTTCTCTTTCCCCTAAGTTAACTACGACTTATAGCAATTTGGTAAAATTATACCTTTGTGAACAGAATTGAAACATTTATCTTTTTCTCCCTACCTGATCCCTCCAGAATTTGGAAACTCTTAGTGAGTGAGTATTGTCTTCACGGCAGTATAGTTATTTGCATAAGTTCAATAAGAATCTGTTCTCCTTATAACAGGACACAATTAGAAACATTGGTTATATTATCAAAGCTTTGACTGGAATGTCATATTTGAGAGAAACATACAGACTCAGATATGACAAGACAGCTTTGGAGGAATAAAGATTGACTTTCTGGAATAAAGCCACTTGGAAATATTGGCCCAGTACCTTGTTTACAGGGTTCCCAGCAACCATACTGGGTAAATAAAGAATGTCACTTATCTGGCAGGTGCAAGAACCTCAATATTTTGGGGAAACTCAAGAGAAGAGAGGAATTCACCCAAATCTAAGGCATTGCAGGCAAAGCCTGATCACAAATCCTTGGCTTGGTTTCCCTGGCCTCTAGAGGCCTTTAAAGTTCAGTCTGAGGTTCCTTATAAAAAGTTTCCAGCAAAGCAGATTTGAAAGAGCCTATATAACCAATTGCTATTCTTGCTGTACTTATGTAAATAATTGGGCCAAGTTTATTAAAACTAGACTTATTTTGCAAACCATTGACTCTTAATTGGCCATCTTTGGTAAAAATGAGGGTGATTTTAGAGAGAAAAATTATGTCTCAATAGAAACTATAGTACACATTCATGGCTATTAAGTTCTAGTTCTGATAATTATCTTTGAGGTTTTTGTTTTCTATCTGTAAACTGGACCAGATCCTGAATTCTTCTAGTCTCCTGAAATATCTGGCTACAAATCTCCAAACTAATGTTTTCAATTTTTTTTCCCACCATTTTCATTTGGAATCATTGAGAACCGAACCTGCCCTTTTTCTGAAGCCCTGCAAACTGAAGTTGGACAACTTGATATAAACTTAAGAGAGATTCATGTCTGTTGCTGTGTAAGCCACTCAGAAAGATACCTGAACACCCAATTACATCATCAGAGGCATTTCAAGCTACAAAAGATGGTTCAACTCTGACATTTAGAAATCTTTTTGGCTGGCTGCTCCCTGGGCTCAGAAATTGGTTTATAATTTGCCCCCACCATTAATCTTGTTTTTCTTTTTGTTTCACTAGAAATGACTTATGTTAATAACTCAGGTGGTTATTATGGTTATTATTATGGTTATTATGACATAGTGACATCACCCTTGGACTCTAAGTCTCAGGTCACAGTGTCAGTGGAGGATGAGACCAACATCCGGGAAATCTATGAATAAGCGTCCTGGCTTCACCAATATAACCAAGGTACAGACCCCAGTCCAGCATGGTCACTGATCAAGGGTGCCCTCATCACCTGATTCCCTCCCTTCTTGGGAGCCCCGGTAATCATCCTACTCCTATTAATTTTTGGTCCCTGTCTTTTTAACCTTCTTGTCAAGGGGGTATCTTCTAGGTTCCAACAATTTCACATTAAACTGATGGTCACGCAAGGATTCTAGCCACTTCCAACTGCCGACCCACCGGGTCCTCATTCTCATTCCTACCAGACCCTGCAACAAGCTGAGAAAGATTTTTATTCCTCCCAGATGTAGGGCCCCTTTCTTAACACTCTCTGCCAGCAGGAAGCAGCTTCAGAAGAAGAGACCTTCGCCCATGATCCTTAAGATTAAGGAGGATAAAATCTCTCAGGGAGGAATGAGACAGGAATCAGCGTAATGAGACAGGGCCATCTGCAAGGCCCCTGGCCTAACAAGATAAGGCTCCTAACCAATTCGCAAGCCAGGAGAATCAGATACAGAGCACCAAGACCCACATTCCTCAGTTTCCGTACTCTCCTGGGCTTACGCATGTGCCCTAGCACCCAGGAGTTGTCTGAAGGTGACCCTAGCTCTATTAGCATAGAAAAATCACACCCAGGGGTGGAGAGCTAGCGTGCTAATAATACATGCAACTCATGTGGTGGCCTGTTGAACGACAGCAGAAGCGCAAGGAAACCCCACCTCTACGTGCCATGACAAGGCGCTCCTCCCCAGCCTTTGCCTAATAAAAGCCCCACAATCCCGCTGCCTAAGGAGCCGGTCACCCGCCCCTTTCCTTTCTGCCGGCTCCCTTGTGCCTCTCCTGTGCACAAGTTAATAAACTTACTTTTCTACTCCTGTTTGTTGTCTCTCTTGATTTCCATCCTGCGGGACAACAAGAACCCTCTGCGCCGGTAACATAGTCACATCGTCGTGCAACGGGTCTCCAGAGCTTTTTCATCTTACCAATGTGAAGCCGGTACCCAGAAACCATCTCAGAGAGGCATCTCTTGCCCAGCTCCCCTCCCCTTTTCCCTCCTCGGCCGCGGCCTCCTCCGCCCCCTGCCGTCCCCCTGCGGAACTGCAGCCGCGGCCGCCCTGCCGGGGCCTCCCCCTGGATCCCAGCGCTGCGCTGGGCGGGTCGGCACTGCGAGTCAGGTGAGGCGGCCAGGCCCGCGGCCCCACGAGCTGCACGCAGCTTCCACACTTCCCTTCTGTCTCCAGGGAGGAGCGGGAATTGGGGGCGTCCTCTGCGGGCGCTCCATGCCGCGGGGCCGGGGGGAGGCGAGCCAAACGCCACCAACTTTCCCAGCGCCCTGGTTGGGGCTGCGGCTCCCTACCTGCTTTGTAGGGCGCTCTCCCCGCGCTCGCTCCGCATCCAGTAGGGGACCCAGGGCCGGGCGCTTCCTGCTCCGCCATCGTGGTGACGTGACCCGTGCACTCTAAGTCTCAGGTTATAGTGTCCAGAGGACCCTTCTCTGAGCGGTTGAACACCTGCGACACAGGTGGCCGCTGGGAGCGCACACCCCTCCACCGCAGCGGCTTCACCAGAGCAGAAGCGCAGCGAGGGTGGGCTGAATAAGAAACCTCAGTAACTTACAGGTGGAGCAGTAGCTCAGAGCCTGCCTTTTTTTAAAAGTATAATTTAATTAAAATTATTTTATTGAGGTCATATTGGCTTATAACATTGTGTAAATTTCAGGGATATATTATTATATCTCAGTTTCTGTATAGACTGTATGGTGTTCACCGCCAACAGTCTAGTTTTTATCTCTCAGCATGTGTGAGAGATATGTGCCCTTTTACCCATTTTTCCCTCCACCTTCCCTCTTTCCCTCTGGTAACCAGCAAACTGTTCTCCTTATCTATGTGCTTGTTTGTTTATCTTCCACACGTGAGTGAAATCATATGGTATTTGTCGTCTTCTGTCTGACTTATTTCGCTTAGCATAACACCCTCCAAGTCCATCCATGTTGCCGCAAACGGCATGATTTTGTCTTCTTTTAAGGCTTGGAGGTATTCCATTGTATATATATATACGATATCTTCTTTATTTGTTGATGGTCACTTGGGTTGCTTCCACATCTTGCTATTGTGAATAATGCTGTGATGTATATATCTTTATGAATTATTGATTTCATGTTTTTTGGATAAATACCCAGTAGTTCAATGGCTGGAATATATGGTGTTTCTATTTTCAATATTTTGAGAAATCTCCATACTGTTTTCCATAGTGGCTGCACCAGTTTGCATTCCCACCAGCAACGTATGAGGGTTCCCTTTTCGCCACATCTGCTCCAACGTTTGTTATTTCTTGTGTTGTTAATTATAGCCATTATGATGGGTGTGAGGTGATATCTCATTGTAGTTTTGATTTGCATTTCCCTAATAATAAGTGATGCTGAACATCTTTTCGTGTGCCCGTTGGTCATCTGTGTATACCTTCTTTCTTTCTGGATATGAAAGATGTCTGTTCATATCCTCTGCCCATTTCTTGATTGGGTTGTTCATTTTTCTGTTGTTGAGTTATATGAGTTCTTTATGTATTTTGGAAATTAACCCCTTGTCAGACATATGATTTGCAAATATTTTCTCCCAGTTGGTGGGTTGTCTTTTCATTTTGTTGATGGTTTCCTTTGCCGTACAGAGGCTTTTTAGTCTGATGAACTCCCATTTATTTTTCCTTTTGTTTCCCTTGCCTGACTACGCATGGTATTCCAAAAGATACTGCTAAGACCGATGTCAAAGAGTGTACTCCTTATATTTTCTTCTAGGAGTTTTATGGGTTTGGGTCCTATATTCACATCTTTAAACCATTTTGAGTTCATTTCTGTGTATGGTGTAAGATAAAGATCTGTTTTAATTCTTTTGCATGTGGCTGTCCAATTTTCCCAACTACATTTGTTGAAGAGACTTTCCTTTCTCCATTTTATGTTCTTGGCTCCTTTGTTGAAGATTAGCTGTCCATAGATGTGTGGTTTTATTTCTGGCCTCTCAATTCTGTTCCATGGATCTGTGTGTCTGTTTTTCTGCCAGTACCATGCTGTTTTGATTGCTATAGCTTTGTAGTATTCTTTGAATTCAGGGAGTGTGATACCGCCAACTTTGTTCTTTCTTCTCAGGATTGCTTCAGCTATTTGGGGTCTTCTGTTGTTCCATATCAATTTTAGGATTCTTTATTCTATTTCTCTGAAGAATGTCACTGGGATTCTGATTGGGATTGCATTGAACCTGTAGATACCTTTAGGTAATATGGCCATTTTAACTATGTTTGTTCTTTCAATTCATGAAAATGGAATATCTTTCCCTTTATTCACGTCCTTTGATTTCTTTCAATAATGTCTTATAGTTCTCAGTGTACAGGTATTTCACCTCCATGGTTAAATTTATTCCTAGGTATTTTATTTTTTTTGTCTTGATTGTAAATGGGATTGTATCTTGATTTCTCTTTCTGCTAGTTCGTTATTGGTGTATAGGAATGGGATGGATTTTTGTCTGTTGATTTTGTACCCTGCAACTTTACTGTGTTCATTGCTTATTCACAATAGTTCTGGAGAATTCTTTAGGTTTTCTATATGTAGAATCATGTCATCCACAAATAGTGACATTTTTACATCTTCCTTTCCAATTTGGATCCCTTTTATTTCTTTTTCTTGCCTAATTGCTCTGGCTAAAACTTCCAGGACTATGTTGAATAAGAGTGGCGAGAGTGGGCATCCTTGTTTTGTTCCTGTTCTCAAAGGAATAACTTTCAGTTTTTCACCCTTAAGTATGATGTTGTGTCAGGTTTGACATATGTGGCCTTTATAATGTTGAGGTGAAGCCTGCGTTTTGAGATGGACCTGAATCCTGCTCTGTGACTTTGACCTCCTGACCTGACCCCTGAAACTCAGTGTCCTCCATGCCTTGGGGACCATAAAGGCACCTGCCTTACAGGGCTGTGGGGAGGACACGTGGAGTGAGCAGCTGTGCCTGGCACGTGAGTCCCTTATCACTGGAAGCTGCAATTGCACAATGATTGCAACAGACCATCGGCCTCACGATTGTGCTGTGTGCTCATTGTACACACGAGGTTTCCTCAAGGCCCCCCGTCCTGGACAACAGACCCCTAGTATCAGGGGCTCTGCCTGAATTACAGGAGTGTCTGTGCCTGCCCTTCATATCCACATTAGGGTAACTGCTTGGGAGGGTGTGACACATCCAAAACAGGGGGGATAAAGACAGTTTATCCAGGGCCACTTCCTGGCCAACACTCAGACCATCCTGCCCCCTGCCCCCGTACTAACACACCCTGATTCTTTGACCGTCCTGGGAAGAAAGTTGCTGCCCACAGGACAGGACATTCAACTGAGGCCAATGAGAGGCCACAGGCTGGATCCCAGAGTTCCCAGGGTGCCTGTGCATCTCGGCCTCCTGGTCTGTTGAGCTGCCACAAAACTGCTCTCTTGGCCCCCTGGAGGCCCAGCGACCCCAGTTCCCCACAACCAGTCCTCAGTTGGATGTGCATAGCTGCCTCCCTCCCGCAGCCCCTCACCCCCCTGCACAGGACTTTGCAGTGGCCCTTTGGTCCTGCTGTCAGATCACCTTGGCTTGCAGTGCCAAGCCAGCCACAGTCCTCCAGGAACTCTTCCCAGAGTCCTGCTCCAGCCTCAGTGAAGTGCCCTTAGAGCTGGCCTGGCCTGTCAGCCTTCCTGTTCCTCCTCTTGGTTGTGAGCACCTTGGAGTTGGGGCCCACCATCGTCTTCCCCCAGGCTGTGAGTGCCCAGCCCAGTACCCAGCACATGGTCGGTCCAGTGGGGGTGGAACAGAATCCAAGGCCTGAGCAAAGCAAGATGCAGGGAAGCCTGAATAAACTGAGGAAGGCCCAGCTGGGCCCCAGCAAGCTACACCCTCTGGCCTTGGGCCTGGCAGGCGAGTGTGGATGTGGGAATTCAGAAGGATATGACCAGTTTTCACAAGCCAAGCAGGAACTGCAAACGTTGAAAGCCAATACCAAGAGGCCACAGTCCCAGGGAGCCATCTCTGGGTGGCCATCTCCGAATCAGGGATGTCCAGAGGCACCCTGGGAAGAAGCTGGTCCACTTACTGTTGGGGAGTGAGATAGGGGGAGAACTGGGGTACACGGGGCTGTGGAGTGCCTCCTGCAGGCCCTGCTTCAGCTGGGGGAAAGCATACTACAGAAAGAGTAGCTTTCTCTTCTGTAGAAGAGAAAAGATAAACTCTCTTCCAGAAAGAGAGCTTATCTCACATACCCCTCGGATGGTTGAGGCGGCCTGATCCCTCCCATGAAATACCCCTTCCTCACCCTCCGGGCTTTTAGCATTTGAGAGGGTTTTGGCCTCAGATTTCCCATCAGCCTCACTGATTCGAAAACTCAGCCTCAAATCCCACACATTTTCTTGTTGAAGAAGGAGGGTGCTGAGGCCGGCTGGCAGCGGCCCTGCCCTGGCATGGTGTAGTCACGCCCCTGCTTGGAGGTGGT